CACAGGTGCTGGCACCCAGCAGGGTGCAGCTGTAGCCAGTACTGCATGGGAATGAGGAGCACAGCCTACCCAGCCCGCCTGTATCGCAGAGGTTGTGCACAGCGTGCTTGCACCTCCTGCACTCGCACCGAGGTAAGCCCTGTGCTGGACTCTGCAAGAAAGCAGGGGTCAGGGCTCCCTCCACTCCCAAGGAGCCCAGGGACTTGCACAGCAGGGACGAGGAAGGCAGCTGGCTCCAGGACGGGGCTTCCCCTGGTGCGAGTGTGGGAGCTGCAGGCGCATCACACAGAGCCCCTGTGATAGAGGCAGGCCAGGCAGGCTGTGCTTCTCGCTTCCACACCCAGCAGTGGCTGGAGCCGCATGCTGCCAGGAACCACTGCCTGTGCTGGGCACGAGCATCCCAGCCTGCTGCTGGTCCCTACACCTCCTTTGCTGTCCCTCACACTTATGCCCTGCCCAGCTGAGCTCCATGCCCCTGCCATCGCTCTGGGCATGGGCTTTACACTGCTCCATGTTTCTGCCCAGCTGCATCTGAAGCTCCTCTCCCCCAACTTGCCTAGCTGCTGCTGGAGCAAGTTGAGCACCGGGGAAGCCAAGCAGGTTCCCAAGGGGTGGGTGCAGCAGGGACAGCAGAAGCCCTGCCCAGAATCTTCTGCTGGTCAATAGGGTATGTTGGGAGCTATGCGTGGGCTCCTTGCTCCCATCCTCAAAGACAGAAAGGCTGGGCAGCGTACAGTTCTCTGCGGGGGCTGTCAAGATGTAGGCTGGATGAAAGTGCATGGCAGGCCAGATCCAGCCCATGGGCTGTATTTTGCCCAGCCCTAAGTTAGTCATATGTCATCTTGCCATGGATATGTCTTTGTCATCCAGGTGATCTAAACTGTTCATCCTGCGTTATAGTCAGAGGAGGATTAATTGGGTCTGTTGTAGGTGCTCTGTGCCCCATTACATTGGCTATATTTCTAAATGGAGCCCTGGCAGCAAGGTAAGTCTTATGACTTCAACATTTTCTGAATCCTGAAATCACTTATTTTAATCTAGAGCAGCGATTCTCAAACAGATCCATTTAAGGATGTCACCTAACATCAGCACTGCTGGGGGAACAACCACCTACACACGATTCGCAAAACAGTGCAAGTGAAAGCTAAGAGCTGACACTTGCCAAGGGGTGCCTTGCGTCTAAAAAGTTTGAGAACCGCTGCTCTAGGGTGTTTCAAGGAATGCATGCTTGGCTCTTTTGGACTTTTTTAATAGCCAAAAGGATTGAAGATGGTCTGTGGACAGCAGAGCAGATCCTATACGGAGAGGCTACGGGACCTGAACTTGTTCAGCCTTCACAAGAGAAGGCTGAGAGGGGACCTGGTGGCCGTCTACAAACATACCACGGGGGACCAGTGGGTAATGGGAGAGACCCTGTTCACCCATGTACCTCCCGGAGTAACAAGGAATAACGGCCATAAGTTGTTTGAGAGTAGGTTCAGGCTGGATATTAGACACTATTTCAGAGTCAGGGCAGCTAGGATCTGGAACCAACTTCCAAGGGAAGTGGTGCTGGCTCCTACCTTGGGGGTATTTAAGAGGAAGCTTGATACTTACGTAGCTGGGGTCATATGAACCCAGTATTCTCTCCTGTCCAGGGCAGGGGGTCGGACTTGATGATTTACTTAGGTCCCTTCCGACCCTACATCTATGAATCTATCGTGTGACTGCAGAGCGAGGGTTTGTAAAAAATATTATATCAAGCCCCTGTGGTGGAATGAGTTTTGGTTGTGATACCCATTTTAAAACTGTCTTCAATACCTGTTATGATCTAACACTAAAGAACCATCATGCAACGGGTTGATCAGTTTGTGGATTGGACCTGGAGGCTGGGGACAGAAGTTGCAAATAAACTGATTTAAGTGATCAGAAACTGGTTTAAACCTGTAACAGAACATAAGTTCACTGCACATAAACCAGTTTCATAATGGCTGAAACTGGTTTAAGATTAACCTGGTTGAATGCAGTATCAGACTTTAACTGATTTGGCTCAAACCAGTTTATATAATGTCTGTCCCAGACTCCTTGCTAGCTTAAGATAAATCACAGCCGTCCAGCATGCTTTTCAGCCAGGCTGGGTTGTGTGCTCCAGAGCGATGGATGGACTGGCCCCACCGCTCTCCTCCCTAGCTGGAGTTCCAGATAGCTGCAAAGGAGGTGGAGACAGCAGCCAGGAGACAGTAGCATCTACCTGGTTCCCCCCTTCTCCCACAGCATGGAACCCAGCAGCACAGACTGCAGCCAGCATCTGGTCATGGTCATGCTATCCCCATGCTAGCTGCTGCTGAGAGAGGGGGCAGATGTTTGTCCAATTTCAGAATAGTATCTGTAAGGGTTGCTTCTCCCTCCAGGCACACTCCAGCTGGGGACCATGCACGCCAGGGTGGAGGTTTCAACCCTGCCCTAATCAGAGGGTCCTGCCAGGGTTTGGCCATGCCCTGTCTCACACTCAGCTCAACGTTGTGGAAGGAATGGGAGGGCTCACACGAGATCCCCCTGGCTTCTCGCCTGGGCCACTGCAGGCTCTGAATCAAAAATGAATCTCTTGCCACTTACAAATCGGTTCATTCTCTGGTTAGACTAAGCTGCCAAGATTGAATCAATTCAGCATCAAGCTTAAAATATGCTTTCTAAACATAGCAAGTGTTAAAGGGGTGGGAAATGGATGAGATCAATTTGTGCACCTCATCTTGAAGCAAGTACTACTTCCCACTTGCTACGAACATTTCTCTTACCTAAAATTCTAGTGCGTACTCTATTTTTTGGAGGGCATAGGGATAGGAGCTGCCACTTCTTTTAACCATATTCTTAACTGTTACTTTTATCAGCCACTTTACATTTACTACATGGTGTTATTGATGTTGTCAAGTAAGACTGCTGACTTTCTCATTTTATTTAGGTACACCACAGCTCCCTTGCCACAAATGGGAAATATCTTGCGCTTCTGGATCACTGCTTCTAGACCAGTCTTTAAAAAGATGAGTCTTGTCCTGGCTCTACAAACCATGGCTGGAGCTTACCTTGGATCCCGCAGTCATGGAACATATGTGAAAATGTTGCAGCTACCTCAAACTAAAAATGGCCTTAAAGATTAAATGTGATAACTAGACAACCCTCTCAGCTGCTTTCCAGGAAATACCATAATAAAAATGGAACTGATGGGGGAAGACACTGAGTTGTAAGTAGAAATGCAAGTCAAGATTTGCATCGATATGGTCTTTGAATACAAAATCCTCTATTATAACTTGCCATTTTCATTTATGCTCTGTTTTTTAAAGAGGAAAAATACCAACACACAAACAGAGTAGAGAGAATAGTCCATAGTTCACTTATGACCCAGGCGTCCGATGTATGTGGCTAAGTATTTGCTGCTCCAAAAGCCTGGCATGAAAGATGCTTAAGTTGTCTGACCCCGTTTGAATGGAAGTATAGAGCCCACCTCCATTCATTCGTATCATATATGTCTTTGCTTTAACTGCATTGAACCAGAGGGCACATTTGCAGTAGATTGAATTAGGACCCAAAAGAGAATTTCCACCCTTGTTAACCTTCAAGGGAGTACTGAACCACATCTTCCCTGTCTTGAATTCTTCCATTCACAATTTTTCCTCCTCCTTCAGCAGGCCTTTTTTTTAGGTGGCTTGCAGGTTGAACTTAAGCAGTCTCATCTGTTTCACATACCGTACATGGAAAAGTACCTGTTAATGCAGTTACAAAACAGGAACACTTTTTAAATACTGTTTTTGCACCCAACTCAAAGTATGAGGTACATGCTTAATGTTACATGCCAAAAAAACCTTTATTTATATTTTTTTACCACAGCTTAAGTATAGTAATTATTTCACCTGTTGACAGGTTGTGAGGATCAAGCTATTCTAAGAACGAAGCTGATATTCACTGACTTAGGATCATTTTCCACTTAGTCTGTTTGTCCAGAGTATGCCAGTGACACTCTGCTCCTCTCTTCCCATGAAATATCACTGAACAACAAAAATACGACTTTCCATCCTGAAATGTTTTCATTTATTTTATGCATTGGTTAATCGAAACTCTCAACGTTTTAAGTAGGACCAGCGTCTGCTTTGTTGTGATGCAATAGGCAAGGACAGTGAGAGAAGTTGGTCTGGAGGCACTAGAATGGAGTTGAAATTGGCATGGGAACCTCAGTCTCCCTTCTCAGCTCAGCGCGTTGAGCAATGCCTCTTATATTTAGCCTTCATATTTCTCAGGGTTTTTTCATACCTTTTGGCTAGGGACAGTCCATCTTTGCAGGCTAGTCTGACCTGCAGAGAATGAACTGATTTGTAAGTGGAGAGACATTCACTTTTGCTTCAGGACATGCCTGCAGTGGCTCAGGCTAGAAGCCACGGGGCTCTAGGGTGAGCCTTCCCTTCCTTTGCATAATGCTGAGCTGGAGGGCTGGGGCAGGGCAAGGCCCTGGAAGGAGGCTGTGATTAGGGAGGGGTTCAAATCCGTACCCTGGCTTGCACAGTCTCCAGCTGGGGTGTGCCTGGAGGGGGAAGCCACCCTCATGGGTACTAGTTTAGAGGTATTGGTGGGGGAAACTCAGGTGCACATGCTCAAATCTTTCCTGAAAAACCATGCACGTCCCTCCCCCCCGCACCCCGTCATTATTCTCCCCTCCATGCTAGGCTGTGACATCACAGAGGCCACTAAAAGCAGTCATTCCCTCAGAAGATAACAGTCCTTCACCAGTGTGGCTATGCCAGTGGCTGCAAAGAGAACCGAGAGTCAATAGACTTGACGTGATGTGTGTTATTTTAGAAACTTAAGATAACAGAAAATACCTTCTTTAGCATTCTTTCCAGCTACTCAGGAAGTTTCTCCCAAACTTGTTCCTCAATCTTCTGGAAGTCTCCTGCCTGCTGATCAGAAGTCATCCCCTTACCTTTCACAGCTCCTTAGTTTTCTCCAAGGGCTTTTTATACCATCTCCTTACTGACCTTAGGATTGAGGCAGAGCCCCCAAGACCGTCTCTGGGGCCCATATACAGGATCTACTCTGTCTAACTGTGAGGCTTGGAAATGAGTAGAGATATAACCCAAGCATGAATATACCCCAAATCTATACTGCTCTCCTGTCAGAGCAGGTGCTTAGAAAGAGTAAATGTCCTGAGTGTGTCCTGGCACTGAGATGTGAATAGCCAAAGATGAGGTAACTACTTTCCAAATGAGGGTGCCAGAATGCTAAGCCCCTAACTAAAAAGAGCAGCCATCAAGCCCAGGTGGTAATTGTTACACAACAAAGGCTTACCCCTTCTGAGAACCAAGGTTGGGACAAGAACCTAGGCGACTGCATGCATTCTTTTGCGCAGTATTAAAAAAAAAAAAAAAAAAAAAAAAAAAAAAAAAGGGGTATAGTAAACTACCAACACAACATTTTGTTCACCTACCCAAGTGTCTGCATGATGCATATACTTTAATAAAATCCTAGTGGACCAACCCCTGGCAGCTCCACCCCTCTGGCACAAGTGGGATAGCCAGCATTATAGGAAAAACCTTTGTGCTCTCGGTCCTGCAATCCAGAGTGCCTCCTGAACGGCATAGCCAAGAATACACCTTTGGGCTGGTGCAAGTGGAATGAACTGAGGCTGTTTTGTTGTATTGGTCTCACTTTTTCAAAAACAACATAAAACCTTTTAAGTACAAGAAAAGGATGTGCTTGCTATAGCAGAAAGTTCTTCGTTAATTCATTTTCTAGTCACCTACATGCTTGTAGTTCAACTTGTAGTTTGCAAGATACTTGCAATGAAAAAAGAACAGAATTTAGTTGCTGTGCTGTAACACTTGAGAATGCTGACTTGAGACAATGATTCAGTGCAGAAAAATGTCATCAAGTGTAAAAATCTAACAAGTCAGTCTATATTAGTACATGGAAAAAAGTGAGTGTAACACTATGGTTACTGGCTAGCTCCTATTTCAAGTTGCACAGTCTGGTATTCAAACACGTTACTCGCTCATTTTAAGTGACATTAGGATAAAACTGAGATTCAGGTTAGGGATGCAGATTTTCTCTGACTACTCAGCCATCTGAGTTCTGCTATTTAATAACCCATGTTATACTTTTTCTGAGACCTATGGAGTAGAAAGAGGAATTTTTTTTTAATTGTAAATCGACTTGGTTTTCTGCTTCTTCCAACTGAGAAACTAGCCTCATTTGTATGCCGTAATAAAAAAAACCCGAAAATGGCTGGGTTATGGTTTGTAATAGTAGCTGCATCACAAATATTGGACATCAGTTTTCAAATCATTCTTCTAGCACATTTGGAAAAGGTCCATTAAAATCTTTAGGCCAGAGGAAGATGTTTAAAATCCTAAATTCAGCAAAAATAAATTCAGGCATTTGTTTTAGTTGCATCTTTTGTCTTGTAGTAGTTTACCATTGCAGCAAAAACAAGTCACACAAAAATACACACTATTGCTTTCCTGTATTGTAAAAGAGAAATTATTGTCTAAACAAAATAAACAGCTCAAATCTCTGGCAGTCAAAGCAAAAGCAGTGCTCTTCCTATCAGGTCCCCTACGACCAACTCAGAGCATCTGCTCCAGCATCACACTCAGGTTCTTCAGACAATTCAGTTTGTGATTTCTTGTTCCTCAATTTCCCAAGCAGGTTTTTTAAAATTTTGCTGCCTGAAAACAAAAACTGTGAGGTTAGCAAAATGCAGGACAATAAATCATCCACAGCCTGGCTTAAGCATGGTTTAAACAAGGACTGCCCCCTGCCTTCCTCTTTTCAAATTACCTTTTGTATTCCAATCACACATCCCACTTCATACACTGCTCTGTGTTGTCCTTTTATAACATCTGATGAAGTCAGCTCAATTTTATGAAAGCTTCTGCTCTAGGTATAATATTTTTTAGTCTGTAAGTGGCACTCCATCTTTTGACTGAGTCATGCACTTGACTGCATGGTGCCAGCAGCTAGATCTGGCTTCTTGGCTGGGGTTGTGTACCCCTAGTTTATAAGGTGTATAGGTGGTCAACATCTCTCCCACATACAGACATTTTGTCTATTATCAGATATTCAACAAATCTTGCTTGCATTTTCTCTGGGGCCATCATAACGGCCCTTCATTTAGGAAAGCAACTAACACGGTTTGAATGTTCTGCAGCAATGAGAAGAGACAGGACCAAAGAAGAATCCAAGTCACACTTACAAACCTTCCACTCTTAGGTTCCTGGTTTATTTAGTATAAATTGTTTTACTGGTTCAGAGTGCCACATCTAGACTGAGATGTCCAATATGTAGCATGGAAGCATACTAGAAGTGAGCTACAAACCAGCCCATTGTTAAGACAGCAGGCACAGTAATCAGAAATCAGGTAAGATCACAAAAAAAAAACCTGGAGCAGTAGATATTTCTGCTGAGAACTGGGTGAGGAATGGAGGTGTGAGGATCATGCAGCTAAGTGGCGGAGTTTGGTATTCAGCTTTTTTTCTTTAGTGAGCAAGTCCATGCTGTGTTTCTTGTAAGCTTCAAACTGCATCCGCAGCTCATTATATGCCTGCTCACTTCTCTCCAGCCACCGCTGCAGCTCCTGGACCCTCACCCCGCTATCTGCTACTGCTGCTTGCCTCTCAAAGCGCTCGTCTGCAATTTGCTTAGCCTTCTCTGCAGCCTCCAACTTCTTCTCCAGCTGCTGGACCTCCCGTTGCTTCTCCTGCAGCATTTTGCCCCTGTCCATGGCCAAAAGCAAGATTTCCTCCTTCTCCCGGCTCACCCTGTCCAGCTTGGCCTGCAACTCATTGCCCTCAACTCTTTGCTGCTTTTCTGCCTGCTCCAGCTGTGCAATCACTATCCTCCCACCTCAGTCAAGCTCAAGAAGAGGGCAGAGAAAGCACTTCAAGGATGTTTTCAAGGCTAACTTGAAAAGTGCAACATCAACATCAGCTCATGGGAGACTATCGCCCAGGTCCACCCCAAATGGAAAAAGAGTCTGACACAAGAATCTCAATACTTTGAAACCTTACAATGACAACAGGAGACAGAAAAGTGGGAGTGCCATAAACAGCATGTTGAGGACCAAATAAAGAATCTGGAGTCACCAGCCCCACTCAGAAATATGTGCCCAAGTTGACCTGAGTTGCAACAGAGTCTGTTGATCCCAGATCGACCTCATCAGCCATCTTTAGACCCACAGATAAAGGAATCATGGAAAACAATCATCCTTGACTGCAAAGGATTGCCTACACACACACACACACACACACTTAGTATGGT